GTGGAATCTGAATCACTTGAAAAAAACACGGGGGTGCTTAACTTTTTTCCAGGTGTATATATATATATTCATAAATCATACAATACTGTCAAAGCATCATGAAAATTGAAGGGTACATGGAGGATTTTATGCAAAGGAAAAATGTGTATTACAGAAACACACTCTTTGGTCATCAGAGGATTGTCCAGTAATGTTAACTTCTATGCTTCCAGTCAGAAGGAAATGTTCTATTAATATGGTTACGACTGATCTTTGAATTGTATCTTTGTCAGAGTGCTTAGTAGCAAAAGTAGTATCTGTTGTAGCACTGTTAAATCCATTTTTTGCCTTACATCAATATTACTCTACAAACTTTCAGCTTTAACATTTTTAACATGTGTTCTTTTGTTTTGAGTACTGAGGAAGTGAGAGGTATCTAGCCTCTTTAAACTTGAACAACCCTTTTGGGGCCAAATGGTATATCAAAGTGTGTTTCTGTTATACATTTTTCCTTTCCTTATCTTTCTCCATGTATCCTCTAGATGCAACAATGCTATGTGAATTTTAAATCATCTTATATATTGAATCTAAGTTTCAAATGGACAGCAACTGCCTGTTGTAAAAACCTACAAATGTAGAGGATGACGTTACGAAAGGCAGAAGGGTGAACTTAGACTCATTATGAATACTCTGCCCAAACAACCTATCAAAGATTATCTTATATATATTGTTATACCTTGGATGGTTAGAAATAACAAGTATTCTATGGAACCAAAAAACTTCTAATCATAGTAAAAACTACAATTGAAAAATGATCTGTTTTTATGTCCATGATAACTATTAGGGTAGATTTTACAAATATTATACTTTTTTGCTGCCTTCACACACAAGACACAATACTATAATATTAAAATACTATGCAGAAATATTATAAGTGCATATTTTTGTTTTGAAGATGCTTCTTTAAAAAAAATGTTTTGTTAACCATAAATTTGTGTACTTTTTCTATGTGTTATTCTCAATAAGCCACAAGTGTAGATGTCACTAAAATACATAATTAGGTATGTACTGCTAAATTATATGACAGTCAAAACACATACCTGTAGTACACTTATTTGCAAGCTACTGCTTAGTATTTTTCGTAAAGTACAAAATATGTAGAATGTGATACTTATCATTAATTTATTTTTCAGGCTTTATTATTGTTGACACAAAACTACCTCCTGACAACTACAGTACAATTAAAGTTCTACTGCTAAACTACTTTTAAACGGCACAACATCATCTTACACTAAACAACACAATTCTCTAAATTATCACCTTCTTTGCACATCAGTCATTAACGCCCGATTATAACTACACACTTTTAAGTATTTACTGTTATGTTGTAACAGTTTCATATCAATCATGATCATGGTTAGTATTTTATATGATCATCTAAGTATGATTATTAATCAGTAACTTTCTGTTATCAGATACTAATTACTATATAAACTTATTAGTAATTAGTATAATGAAAAACAAAATTACTAGCTAATTATTAGTTAGACTTCAGTAATCATACAAGATACTAATCACACCAATGAGGGAAATTTTTAAATATTTTGTAGAATAGTAAGTGAACATTTTTGTGAAAAAACAATCATTGTTTTTAGTAAACATAATATATTGGACATCTTTGAATAAATTATGTTTTTTTAAATAAACCTATTAATTAGTGTAAATTTCTTTCTTCTGTGAGTACAAATCTTGTAGTAATCTTTATTTTTATGCTTCTTCTTATTCTGCCTAGCACTTAAAATTTTGTGCAGTGTTACAAGTCAGATATATTTGAGATATACATGCACGCACCATGGAAGGAATTTATGCATAAAAACAAACTTGTTGAATCTAGCTCGATAATTTTGACCTACCTTAATTTAGTATGGTATACATGTTATTAAACAAGAAAAGTTATGGTATAGCTCTCAGGTGGAAATTTTAATTTTAAATTAGTTTGTCTCAGAAAAATGAAAAACTGGAAAATAATTATGTTGCCCTAAATTTAACACTATTGATATCATTTTCCCCAAGATTCATTCACAAGTTATCTCAATCGATGGATGTAACATATTATGAAAAATGAACAATTCAGCATGGGAACTATCTTCCCATCAGTAATCTTGTGCCTTAAATTTATCTTCTTGTTTCAAAGAACAATGAATTACACCTTATTATCAATAGAAGATGATGCTTTAAGAGAAATGTTACCAAACTTACACTTGAAGATAATTTAGGCAACTACAAGAAATCAGAGTTTAAACAACAGGAATCTTTTCTTTTTTAAATGAAGCAAAAAATGTCAAAATATAATTGAAAAATGTTCACTTACGTTTCACCATCTAAACCTTCATCAGTTTCAACAACGTTTACAGTTTCATTGAAAACTGAATTTAGATACTGTATTCCATCCTAGAAAAATAATAGAATATTTTTGTTATATTACATGCAGTGACTTTGACATTTTTAGCATTCCATCTATTTACTCCATAGAGTGCATGTTAAAATTGAGGATAAGTATTAGACATACGGATTTTAAACCTTATCTGTTATTTATATTTAATTCTTAAATTTGCATAGTTTAAAAATTGTATATGAAAGTTAAATATAAGTATTCTAATCCAATTTGTCCAGCTTTTTTCAATTTTGTAAATTATCTATTCATTCCTGTTAACATGGCAAAATATTTACCTGAACAGGCCAAAAAATATTCAAACCTAACTGTTTTGTACCAACTAATAAAATTACACAAACCATAAAAATAAATTTTAAAACAGTTTTAATGAACTGGAACAAAGGACGTTTTTGACTCTAGTAAGAGCACTATCCTTATCAGAGGCTGCGTTATTACAAAACTGTACATTTATTATACAAAAGATTGGCATAACATGCAAACTCGTTTTTTGACATCCATGTCTCAGCTAGACAAAATGACAGTTCTTACACTTCACACAATACAATCAGTTTGCTTTCTCAGTCAACTGAATAATGGCTAAACCGTCTGTAGTCTAACCAGAACTGTGAACAGATGATCTGAATTGGAATGACTGGGCAGCTTTTCTACAGTTTTTATTGTCTTGTTTGCCCCACTAATCACAAGACACATTTAAATAATTTCTGGTTAGCTATGCATTCTTGTAATAAGATTTTTTAAATCCCTTATGCAATCTCTGCTCTTTAATATTTGAATTCCTGACATTGACAGCTAAAATACCTAAAAAGAAAAAAAAAAAAAAAAAACTTAAATAACTCCAAATTATAGGCACTAGTTTTGAAATAACCTATTGTTCTGTTTACCCACAGGTTTATGTTCTATTGAATCAACTTGTCATTGTAGTCAGCTATCTTTACACATATAATACACCAAAAACTGTAACATACCAGTGGGATTTAAAGAGATTAACCAAGATCATCAAGAACAAAGAATTAAAGAAACCCTAACAATCGCATATTAATATGAATATTAAAATGTTAATAAGCTAACAATTAAGCTATTCTCAGCCTTTAGCCAGCACACTAATATTGCTATAAGCTTTATGTATAGCTCAATTATAGCTCAAAAAGCTTTCTGCTACACTAACAATTTAAAGAAAACATCTAACGGCTTTTAAGGCAATAACAATTTTTACCAAACCTTCACGGACCCCAAATAATTTGTAAACATCAGCACCGAGAGATAGAATCACGTACATGTTTGCTGTTCTCAGTAGCTTCAATATTCGGCTTGTGTGTGATAAATTGTTACACTTAGTTTAGATGGTAAAAGAGAAACAAGTTGTAATATTCAATATTCATTTATTGGTTAATAAAGGAAAAGACTTTGAGTGTTAGTGTTTTTTGTTTCCAAAATTATAGGTTATTATTATTTAAATATTTTTAAATTAGTTTTTTTGATGGGGTCCACTCAGACCTGGAAGAGTGACTATGGAAAAATTTTAAGACTAATGCAGGATTAATATCTGGAATTTACCTCAGCTGAAAAAACAGTCAGAAATATTATTAGAGATGGTGCATGAGAAATTTTACATTTTATTACATAACATGTGGAGAAAAGGGTTTAATGACATTTTGGTTAGTACTCTGGGTCATCTATTAACTCACTTCAGGTTGCTACCGTCACCTGGAAATATGTTACTTAAAAAAAAAAAAAGTCATATAAGACTATTAATTCAATTTTATCTTTGATTAAACATTATCACAAGATGATACAAAACTTACGGCATCTTTGTAGAGGAGGTTCACTGCCAATCCAAAGGATCTTGCAGCAAAAGATTCACTCACAAAGAACTGGTAATACAATGTGGCTTGCTGTTTTGGCTTCACCACTCGATTGTAAGAAATAGTACTAAACTAGAAAATAAACATTAGAGAAGAATTCAATGGAAAACTATTTCACAATATGGTATATTTTGAGCTATTTATAAATAGTTCAGATTACATTCCACTAGGTGTTTATTTCAACTATTTCACCAACTCACCACATACTAAGTAGTCCATCATTAGGTGCTTATTTCAATCACCACACTAACTCAGCAAACACTAAATAGGTCATCACCGTGTGTTTATTTAAATAATATCACCAACTCAGCAAACACTAAATAGGTCATCACCGTGTGTTTATTTAAATAATATCACCAACTCACCACACCAAATAGTCCATAATAAGGTGTTTATTTCAAACACTTCACCAAACACAAAGTACTCCATCATTAGATGTTTATTTCAATCACTTCATCAATTCACCACATACCAAGTAGTCCATCATACAGTGTTTATTTCAACCACCTTACTAACTCATCAAATACTAAGTAGTCCATCATTAGGTGTTTATTTCAACCTCTACACCAAGAAGTCCATCATAAGATGTTTATTTCAACAAATTCACCAACTCATCACATACCAAATAGTCCATCACTAGGTATTTATTTCAATCACTTCATCAATTCATTAAATACCGAGTAGTCCATCACTATGTGTTTATTTCAACCACTTCACCATCTCATCAAGTAGTCCATCAGAAGGTGTTTATTTCAATCATTTCATCAAATCACCACATACAAGTAGTCCACCATTAGGTGTTTATTTTACCCAACTCACTACGTGGGCCATCTTTAGATGTTAATTTCAGTCATTTCACCAACCCACTAAACACCAACTAGTCTATCACTAAGCATTTATTTCAACCACTTTACCAAACACCAAGTAGTCCATCATTAGGTGTTTATTTCAACCACTTCATCAACTGACTACATAGGCCATCTTTAAATGTTTATTTCAGTCACTTCACCAATTCACTAATAAGTAGGTCATCACCAGGTGTCTATTTTGACCGCTTCATCAACTCACTAAACACTAAATAGTCCATCATTAGATGTTTATTTCAGTCACTTCACTAATTCACTAATAAGTAGACCATCACTAGGTGTTTATTTCAATCACTTCACTATCTAAGTAGAGCATCATTAGGTGTTTATATTGCTTCACCAACTCAACACACTGACTAACTCACCATTATTAGATATTTACATTTTAAGTAATATACTTTTGTGCACTTATCCATGATTGGATCATGGTTCTAGTTTTATCCCAGTTTCTTTAAGAAATTTTTTAAACTTTTTAGCCATGATAAGGAAATGTTTTTTTATCAATATATCAGTGAATCTGGTATTAAACAAATCTTCATTTCTATACTCAAGAACTCTTATTACAGGGGTTGGTAGAAATGAGTTTACATTTTTAGTCTTTGTTACTTTGCTATACTTACTCAAGAACTCTTATTACAGGGGTGGGAGTATAGCAAAGTAACAAAGACTGAAAATGTAAACTGCCGATTGAAGCAAGTCAAATTTTTTGCAGTTTATATTTTAACAGTTTTATTACAAATACAAAACATATATAAGCATATGCAACCTACAGAAGAGAACATACAATATGCACAATAACTGAAAAAAAAATCTTTTAATTGTACAAAAAAAGTGCACACGAGTTGATAAAATTCCCCAAACAAAAACAGGTTATAAGTAAGATCCTTCTGCTCCTACTGCCTTAAAACCAAAACTAAAGTTTCTACTGAGGCCATTTGTAAATTAAGCCCAGGTACATTTAAGACTGATAATAGAATGCATTTCTTTGCACAAAGTCATGGGTGTCTGGAACAAACTACCCAGGCATGTTGTTGAAGCTGAGTTTCAGCTTAATGACATTCTTTGACCAACAACCAAATGGGCAAGATGGACCAAATGATCACCTCTTATTTGTAACCTTTCTTACATACTTATCTGGCAGTTTTAATACAGTCCATAATTGAGGTTATACTTGACATTTAGGACTTCACTGAACTGGCTGGTAACTCCCAAGCATTTGGTGATGGTAACCCAATGTACTCAATACTTATTTTTCCAAACTTTTCACTTGCACTTCTTGAAGTAGTGTGTGAAAAACTGACAGTGGACTCTTCTGTAGAGATGCTTTCCTCTTGCCTGTTCCTGTCACTGTTTTTCTGGACTTCAGCAAAACCATCTTGTTTTCTGAAAAATTGTCTGAATTTCCTTTTTTTGCATTGTTGTTTCTTAGTTGAACTCTCTTGATTGGCATTTTAGGTACTGTAGCTCAGATCCAAGAAGGGGTTGGTTATATAGTTAAGAATAACTTAATGTTCCACTTGTTTTTCATATGGTGATTACAAAGGACCTTTTTGCCATTGCTGCCATAATTCATACAATGGTTACAAACAATAAGAAAACATTGTCCAGGAATGCCAATATTCCACATCCACTGTCCATACAGCCTATTTAATATCATTTTTGCACCACTGCAAATACCATTTATTTTTCACAGATTAATGAATGAGAACATTGAAAATGAGCATGACAAAACATCCATCATGCAGTCAACAACAAAGTGGGTACGAAAAGAGGGCAATAAACAAGAATTAAGAAAAATAATATTTAATATCTAGTGATGTATTATAAAACTAAACAAATTGTTTTATACAGTTTGTGTATATTAAGAAAAAAAACGTTCTCCTTAATTTTTCACAGCCCCTAAAATTTCTAAGGCAGAGAATCATCTATAAATGGAAAAGTCTCACCCCTGTTATTAGTAATGTTCTGATAAATTGTATAATTATTTTCAAGGTGAGGGTTGTTGTTTTTTAATTATTATTATTATTTATATTTTCATTTTTTTATTTGTAGATACTATGAAGGTAGTCAATTCACTCACATTTTGAATGTAGAAGGTGAAGTCCATTGGATAGCGGAAAGACGTATCCATGGTTTCTAATACGAAATCCTTGCTTCCTTTGTTTGTTACACCAACAAGAAACTGTACGTCCCTTCCAGCATGAAGCTCTAGAGTAATGAATAATCAGCATAAATTAAGTATCTGTCACTACTATTAATATGCACTTTAATAAAACATGCATTTTTTAACTTCATATAAATTTAAGATGAGTTTGGTCTTCTGTTTAAAGGTTTAATTTTTCCTTTACCTGATAACAAATAAATATTTTAACACATGACCAATAAAACAAAACATTATGAGAAATATGTAAAAGGAACATCATAAAATATTTTGCTTTGACAAGTGTTAGAAACTGATACTAAAAATGGTCTTTGTGTAACATATTTGATGGCATGGAAAACAAAATAATGAGAATAAAACCCCATTCAAGAATGGTTCAGTAAAACCAAATGAATTTCAAAATCTCAAAAAATTTTGCAAGTTTGTTTGTTTGTTTTTTAATTTCAAGCAAAGCTATACATGGACTATCTGCACTAGTCATCCCTAATTTAGCAGTGAAAGACAAGAGGGAAGGCAGCTAGTCATCACTACCCTCCACCAACACTTGGGCTACTCTTTTACCAATGAATAGTGGGATTGACCATCACATTATAAATCCCCCACGGCTGAAAGGACAAGCATGTTTGGTGAGATGGGGTGTTGAACTCATGACCTGCAGATTACAAGTCGAGCCCCTAACCACCTGGCTATGCTAGGCCAAATTTTGCTAGTAATACAATATAACTTAGATGAATTATTCATCTTAACAGTTACATAATACATTTATTTAATACCAATAACTTAGATGTAAGTTTTTACAAGTGCCCAGAGGTTGCAATTCATTTAACGTACTTAATTCATGTGCTTAGTTATCAATAACTTCTAATTAAAATATGCTCAGCTACAAAATTAATATACCAGTCTAACTTAAAAAGACTAGAATTCACTGATTCTTAAGCTCTGATACCCTCACTGCTATTGATATTTTCTGTTGTAATCCTAATAATATCTCACAAGGTTCAACTAGTTTAAGAGATTAGGTTGACCTAAATTCATATATTAGGACAACAAAATAAAACAATCCACGTTAAAAAAAAATTATATACTAAATAGATTAAAACTAACAAAATAAATTAAATATATATTCAATATTTTAAACAATACTGTTAATGAAATTAACACTAAAGAAATACTGGTTTATAATTAATATTAACTTTCGATCAGATAGCTCTAAGACCCAAGCTGTTTCTTTTTTTCCCCCTATTTTCAGATTTATAAACATATTTATCAAAATATAATTATGCAATGTTTTTTGTTTGCATACCAAATATGTGAATCAATGTTTATTATTCTTATGGTTGCATGAAAATTTTACTTAAGTAGATGTTTTTGTTTCAATATTTGTAAGCTATGGCTCCAACAACAGAAAAAAAAACTTTTATGATCAGTGAAAAAGGTATAGACTGTATTATCTGAGTATAATATGAAAAATGACATGATTCATATAGTACCTGTATTCTGTTCAATAAATCTAAATCTATATCAGTGTGTTGAAATCAGTAAATTAGCAATCAAGCTACAGTAACTTCAGAGAACGGTCAACGGTATAAGTCCAAATGAAGTTAATTTGATGAAAAGAACAATTTTTCTACAGATAAATACTAAGATGGTTGAAGCATCAACTATATCTATAGAATTTTGTACCTTAATAACTTTTTTTGTTGTTGATATGGAAACTTTTACTTAAAACACTGTGGTAAGAAATCAAACTGATTTTTGTTCCATACACAAACATGGGTATGTATTATTATAAATTTTTATTATAAGCATGGTCTGTTAGTAATAGATGACATTAGGACACAGAAAGATCACTAATCATTTTAATCATATTCTTCTTTACTGCCTATAATAAGGTTACATTAACATGGGTGTATAACACTCCTTTATGTGCTATTACTGTAGGGGCCTTTCACTCTACATAAGGTGCTCCAAGTTACAACAAAGTCTCAATTGTTTATGAAGCATCTAATCTTCAGGCTTACGATGGTGAAGTGTGAGATGACAGGATTACATCTATTACCAATAAACTTGCCATTTAAAAACAGCACACACACCATAATGCTTGTAATTTTATGACATATTATACACTGACATTACAACACAAAACTGATTTACTGTACTAGTAGCAACTATAAGATTTTGTTGTTGTGAATTCATCTTTAGACAGCTACTATATTTATTAGTTTTAGTAGAACTCGAAAGATAAAATTTTCCTTACCTGAAAATGTATTTCTGATAGATGAAAAGCTATCTTCCCCATTTGTCTACCTTAGAGATTTGCATGCCACTAGCCTTTAGGCAACTCCCACCTAAACTCACAAGATTTCTTGTGATTTATCTTCCACTAACAGGAGGGCAACACAGCCTCCCTGAATACTAGCTCCCTCTATGCTTTTGCACTCATTAGCTTCATTCTGTAACAAGACAAGGAATACTAAATTGCACCAGAAGTAGAGGGGAAGTGTGAGAAGGCAGCAGTAGGAAGGGAGAATGCAAATGTGGTGGGTCAACTCCAGTTCAAAACCAGGATGGGGTAGGAATTTGTCATCCAGTCTGTGGTAGGATGAGGATCCCTACCAACCACATGTGTGAGAACTTGTGTTGGCTGGTCCTATGATGATCCAACACCGATATCTAGGCAGCAGTAGGATGGGGGACTTATTTTGGAAGGTCGTACACTGATGCAACACCAGACAACCATGGAAATGACATCCAGGAGGAGGTAGGATGGGGCACATGTGTTGGCTGGTCCTACACCAATCCAACACCAGACCACCTGGGAACCAACATTTGGGCAACAGTAGGGTGGAGGACTTATTTTGGAAGGTCCTACACCGATCCAACACTAGACAACCAGGAAACTGACATCCAGGTAGTGGTATAACGGGAGACATATGTAGGCTAGTTTATACCAATCCAACACCAGACCACCCAGGAACCAGCATCTGGGCAGTGGTAGGATGGGGAACACTGACATGTTTTGAATAGAAGTATATGAGGGGTAACCTGTGCTACACTGACAGTGTCACTGCCATCCCATGTTCCACTGAATTGGCATCTTTTGTTTATTCCCTGGCTATTCTGTCCTAATCAGTGAGGGTTCTCCATGGTCCATTACGCCAGCATCTAGGAACTGACAAGTAGTAAGTGTCTCCCATCCTGCACTCAAGGGGAGAAATTCGCAGTGGAGACACCTGTAAACATGTCCGGACCCTATCAGTCATCTGCTGGATAGGTCTTTTACAGACAGTGCAATGGGTAACTGTGTAAACCTACTTCAAATAGCCAGCAAATATGAGCTAGGAAAGCAGGCAAAGCACCCCCTGGTGCTGACTTTTTCCATGGCAGTCCATGGAATAGCCACAGTCTGGAATATACCATGAGGATACCTCAAGTGGTCTTGCGGAACACCACATATCAACAGTGGGCACACATAGAAATTCTGGATCAATGTTGAATTTTGGGAAATAAGCATATCCTGGGAGGCACCACCAGCCACCTGGCAGGATCTTGAAAGGAAATGCTAGAAACAAAGGGGAATGTGCACAACTGTCCAAATATGGTAGGGAGAGTGTAAGACAGAGAGCAAAGGCAGGCAGTGACCACCAGGAGACTACACAGACAGATGGTGAAGAGAGTGAGTGATAAGGTTATGGAAGGTAGTCCATACATTACCAGTTGGAATGTTCTTGTCCCACAATGGATGAAAACAAGCAACAAATAAATAGGAGAGAAGATGAAGCTGATGACATGAAACATGGGCCATCAGTAAGCAACAACCATTAAGGAAGAGGAGACTGAACCAAGAATGTAGCAGACAGTACCAATAAATGCAAGAGATTTGTACCAGGAGAAGGAGAATCCCCAGAGAAGGTAGAGTGGGAGACAGAAACCCCAAAAGTGAGAGGTACAAGAGAAGTATCAAGGAATGGTACAAACTGGACAGAAAAGTCTGTCCAGATCCAACGAGCATAGAAGAGTGTAATAGAAGGACAGGAGAGAGAGAGAAGAAGGGTAGAAGTCTCTCCAACAAGCAAATCAAGACCAAGGGAGGAAGAAAAGGGTATAGGACGAGTTGCCAGCATAAAGATGTGAACAATGGTGATCATAAGTAGGAAGAAAGAGGAATATACTGGAAATGAAGGTAGTAGTAGGTGCAGGCTACCAATGGCAGCAATGGGCACATCTAAGAGTGTGTAGGATGATACCAAGGTCCTGGTCAAGCACAGGAGCAGGGCAAGAGAGTCCATGGATAAGGAAAGACTGGAACAAGGTGGAGAGAACAAGGGCCGAAACATCTTGCAGTAACAAGCTGGCAAATAGGGGGTGAATAAGGCCATCCAATAAGTGGCAAAGCAGAGAGAGCTGAACCCTGTAGAACAGCCTGGAAAAGGGAAGGGAGATGCCTAATAGTAGAAAAATTAGGAGAAAGTGGTGACTGATGGACCAACATGAAAGTCATGCCCCCCCCCCCTCCCACCACTTGGGTAGAATGACCATGTAGAAAGACACCTAGAAGGGAAAGGATTACCAGATGTGAAAGGCAGGTTTAAGAGTGACTGAATGAATTAAACCCATGTAAAAGTGGAAGGACAAGACCCCATGATGGAAGTAAACAGGAGGCATTGAAGCAATATTGTAGAATTGGCAAGGGAAGAGGGTTGGCTTGTCAGACGGCACAGAAGAGAGAACCAAGGGTAATACAGACAGATGGTACCACCAAGGGAAGAAGATCAGTAGACAAGACCAGTACCAAAGGGAAAGACTGGAAAGGTGGGCAAGCCTTATAACAAGAAAAAGACCAAACCTGGTGGAAGGCAATGACAGCTAGGGCTGAGGGAAGGAGATCAGATGATCTGAAAAGAGAAAGCATGTAAGTGAGAGGGTTGGATAGGCAAATTGAGTGAAATTCTCAAAGGAAATGGAAACTGGGGGAGAAGAGACACTGTGCAGAATGCTATCCAGCCAAGAAAGGCAGTCTGCAACCCAGAGCACAGTATCAGTTACATGCCAAGTGGGGAAACTGACCCAATGAGAATAGCCCCAAGAAGGAAAGTCCAGAGTTTGAAAGCAAGGGGTTCTGGAATGGATCATCCAGTGGTGGCTAACTGAGGAAATCCAAGTTGTTGAAATGGGATCTAACAAAATGAACCACTATGAGAGGTAAGAATAGGATCATGTTCACCATCTACCAGAAGACTGAATGTGTGAATATAAATAAATGACTTATCCTGGGACCAAGTGCTGAATGGAAAATACACAGGGGGGAGCATATATGAAAAGGTATAGATCCAGTTTAGATGGAGATAACGGAACACTGATGGTGATAGGGAACGAGTCCAACCACCTATACAAAAATGAGAATGGAGGAAGGGAAAAGAGAACCACTGAAGTCAAAGAATCCCATAAGGTTTCTCTCTGATCACGCAAGGGCAACCGAGAAGGTGCATATGAGTGTGACCTAAACAGATAAGTAGTCCCCCTAAAGCCATGGTCACCAAAAAAGAAATTGCATATGCAGAATGAGTATGATAGGTGCAAATCCCAGTGACAGCATGGTCTACTGATCACAGGCAGATGGGAGGATGCTGATACAAGCTGAAAACACCACCACAGTGAATAAAATATTGATTTGGAGTGAGGAGTTGCTGGAAATTGTAATGAACACAGCCTCAAAGAGATGTGGGACATAGATGGAAAAGAGAAAAGGAAACAAGATGAAAGCAGAGGAGGGAGAGAAAAATGTAAAGATGCCCAAGGGTAAAAAGTAGAAACCCTGAGGGTGGATGGAATGTGTGACCACAGGTGTTCAAACCATAATAGTCGGGCACACACAGGACCCAATACGAAGGAAAATGGCACAAACAAGCTCAATAGGAATGACACTGGGTAGAAGAGGAAGGTGGAAATCAAATGACAGGGAACAAAAGACAAAGAAGAGGTACATTGGTGGAGAGTAGGGGTAGGGACAGTGTGGAAATTACTGACAAAAGTGAGGATAGATGATGGGAAGCTACAGCCTGTGATTCAAACAAATTAGGAATATCACCACACTGCAGGACAAAGAAAGAAGCTAATCAAAGGACCTGTGGAAGAAAGAAGTCAGCTTGGGATGGGAGAGTATCCCCACCCAACAATCTCCAGGAACAAAGAGTCGAGAGAGCAGGAAGAGTAGAAGGGGAATGGCCACAATAGAGAAGGGAAATGAAATGAGAAACATCCTCAAAATACACTGAGGCATAGTGGGATGCCCCAGACTTGAAGTGCATAGGGGAAAAGGAAAGAAGTATACTAAAAAGGATCAGAGAAGGACAGAAGCATTAGGCTACTGGATAGTGAAACAGATGCCAAAATTCTGCCACCTCCAAATGCCAAGGGCAATCCCAAATGTAAGAAACTTAAAAGAGGATGCAGAATGATGAAAATGGAGGAAATAAGAGTCAGACAGATGGGAAGGAGGAGGCGTAATGTCATGGACATGGTTCAAGAATGGTAAATGAAATGAGTTAGAGTTAGGATTAAGAAGTAGGGAACAAAAAAGAATATAACAAGGAAAATAAAAAGAATGGTACATACCTGATAAACAAGAACAAAGTATGTGAGAAAGTTGAAGTGTTTCTTCAACAGGGAGAGAAGTTCCTAAGCAGGAGAAGGAACACCTGATGAATGGACTGAAGCTGATGTACCTGGCAGCATAAGGGAACCCATTATCCAATCCACAATGGCCACCACATCTTTCCCAGGGAATGTGCCTCCGTAAGCCTTCATAATTTTGTAACCTGTGTGAGGAAATTAGTCAGTCATACAAGTAACAGAAGGCGTTACATAAAATTAAGTTCCCTCACCATCCCAAATCTCATTAAATCGAGAACGAAAAAAACATGTCTGATATGTTCAGTGCCAAAGAATAGAATGAAGCTCACAAGTGCAAAAGCATAGAAGGAGCTAATGTGCAGGAAAGCTGTATCACCCTCCTATTGGTGGAGGGCTTCTGCTGCATAATAATGTCAGTATGCAGTAGCAGAATTCACGAGAAATCTTGCAAGTTGAGATGAGAGTTGCTAAAGGCTGGTGACATACAATTCTCTAAGGCAGATGCATGGGAAAGATAGCTTTCTGTGTGAAGAGATGTGTATCACCTCGGAAACAGACATGTCAGCCACATAATAACAAGATTTATAGTTTTCTTGAAACATAATTACAAAAGAAAAACTTCCACTTAATTTTAATTCAGATTACTTTTAAAATGAATTTTCAATACATTTACCTCAAAACAGTACGATGAACTTACCCATAGAAGTTCCCGAAGGTTTAGTAAAGAGGAAATATGTATCTACATCAGGAGAAGGTTTCAACTGCCATTCTTCTTCTTCATCATCCTGGAGCAATAAGAAAAAGTTATTATTTAATAGTAGAAATCAATTAAAAACTTAACATATAATATTAAATGCACATAACAAAATGTTGCAGTAAATCACACACAAAAAAAAATACCAAAAATTCTTAATCCTAAAATAATTATAGTATGGTTTTTCTCATAAATGTATTCACAGCCAACATTTTTTTAAATAATTTTGACCACTGTTTATAACTGGTCTATGTACGTATATGTGTCTCCAAAAAAATTCCAGTACTTCTTGAAAATCATTGGTTAAACACTAAATCCACTGGATTTTTTGCCAGCTAATCACTTTTAATTTCAAACCCTGTAAAGACATAAAAATGTTTTTTTGAACAGAGATATTAATATTTTTAAATAAATAACCAATAACAAATAAAGTCATCATGTAGACTTTGCATAACAGCCAAAAAATTGCACACTTAAAAACATTTTCATAGATTAAGCTGTAAAACAAATCTTAAAATAAAATATAAAAAGCTTTTAACAAATTTAGTACTTTTTTATGTATTTTGTATTTAACAAATGGCTAGAAGGTACTCTTACTGATAGGGCCAAGCAATTACTGGAATTTGCTAATTGATTAAACCTTGGGGTCATTAATAGAATACATTCAACTAATCAATTACACATAAGATGGCTAAAAAACAACTTAAATGCTAAAAATTAAGTCTCAATACCTGTGGAAGACAAAGTTTTATGCTTAAAACAAACAAGTATAATGGTAATAATGGCTGGAGACAAGTGTACCTGATGATGACAAAACCTTGTCAAAACGTTGTACATTTGCTGTTATATTAAAGTTTTTCTTCATTACCCATTCAAGCCGTCTCCAGCCATTATTAGTCTCAAAGTGGGTTCCTCGTCATCGAAGTATAATGGTAGTATTTTGATTACTTGAATATATGAAATAATCAGTAACCCTAATTTTGATTACTTGATTAGTTTTGCTACTAATCCATTACTCTAAACAAACATGAATTAATCAAAAGTAATAATAAAGAACCATGATGGCAATATTTGTTACTGAATAGTTAGAATAATCTAAAACACTAATTTTGAATTGTAGATTATTTTTGTGACATTAGATTTAATTGTAATTTAAATTCATTGATTATTTTATGTGATAATAGTCAATGCAACTGATGCTTATAGGTAACTTATATCAATCAAGTAAACTGTCCATCTCTACTTACTGACAAACTGATTGGTAATTTATGATATAGTATTTGCATGCTTACAACAACTGACAAGCACACAACAGTGAAGCATGTGAATAAAGATCACGTAAAGTTTATTCACTAACCATGTATGTGTATATGTTCCCAGTACTAGAAAGGTCCAAGTTTTAGACAATCTTACAAAAATAAACCCTCGTTTTTAGTTGATATTCATGTCATTTAAATGGAATCTGAAATTGTGAAAAAGATAACATAGTCATTACATGCTAATCTTCTAATATCTTACTAAACTCAAGCATTGTCTTTATGTTTTCTTGCTCCATCAATATATCAGTATGTTAGTAATCAATACTATTGTTACATGAGTAAGAAATAATACAAGGTGAAAAATACTTTTTTGCTAAGATTTTCTATTGAAAAGAATAAAATGATAGCAAAACAAGAACAGGCTCCGAAAAATGTGATTTACAGCTTTGACCAAATTTTTAGTTATGACACGGTAATATCTCCACAGTTTGGACAGAAGTTCACAGATGGTGATAATGACTTCAAATGAATGAACATAACACAGTAATAACTGACAGTAAAAAAAAATTCATTAATCCAAGAATGCACATTTCGGTTTGTGTATTATGTATGTGTGGATGGATATAACTTGTTAATAAGTAAGTAAAGTTTAAGTACAAGGTGTGATTTGAAGCAGCAGTAAGGCAATAGCCACCTGATGACCATTTTATAAACTGAATATTAACCCTTTCTAGACTAGAAGAATGTCACAGTGGAAATATTTTAACCAAACTCCATGAAACATTAAATATACTTCCTTTTGTTTTAGAATTTCATTTTATTTTTATATTTATCATAAATTTTCATTTCATATACCTAAATAGATTCAACTTCATTGATATTCATTACCATATTTCTTTTAATAATTTATTTTGTTTATTACAGTAGCCACCATTTCGAACTATAAATCATTAAAAATGTTGCAAAAGCTGACAAATATTTATTGATGACCTACAACCTGAGCTTTGAAAATGCCCGTTACTATTTTCAAAGCTGAACTTCATTAGTAGTTGTTCAGGCTACATGCTGTGGCATCATAAAATGTTAGCAACAGAAGTCTATATAATAAAACATCAGACTGAGAAGGAAAATCATGAGAAAAAGAAAATTTGCCTAAGGTATTTCTCAAGGGATAGTTTTTAGCAAATAAAACTCTATCCCTTGGGATGGGCAGAAAAATTCTACGAAACAATCAATAATTGCATTGTTTACAGGCAAAATTCCTCTTAGTTGAAATGTAACTATGAACTTTTTTTAAATTAGACTAAATAAATAATATAAAATGACAAAATATGAATTCTAAATATTTTTGAGTTAAACAATTTTTGAAATAGTTTTAATTATTTTCACTTGAGTTTTGAAATTGGATATGCAGGTGCAAAGTCAACACCTCAAAGATAATCTATGGCTCAAAAAACGTTAAATATTCCTTTTAAATATTCCTTTTCAGGAACTGACATATGATGAAAAAAGCATAAGAAAAAAACATGAAAAAAAAATGAAATTTAAGCTCTAAGTTGCAACCCAAAATATGTAGTGGCATTCTGACAATAACCTATATCAAAACTAAGAAGAAAAAAGTTTTATTGTAAAATCATTAACAGAACAAAAAAAATGAAAATAAAAAACATGACTTACATATACTTGTGAATAATAAAAATGGAAGCTTAGAGTAGACTGAGGACACTCTAAATTATGAACCTGTACTATTATACTGAGTAGCTCTCCTTGTTCCTTATTATCATTGTCAAAAATGATTAGTCTAACTTTAATTCACTAGGGAGGTTCTTCATATAGTGAATTTTTCATTGGTAGTCATAAGAACCAGAACAGGAAGCCTTCTTAGCCTTACATAATCACCACACACACACACACTTCAAAATTTGGTCAGCATGACCCTTTATGGTAATTTAAATTTTTTCCATTCCTCTACAATACTTTCTGGACATCTATTTACTGTTTGCTTTGCTTACCTGAGTGCGTGCAATGTTGCTTGTGATGCAAGTAAGAAGTGTTATGAATAGATCTGATGTATTCCAAGTATTTTGTGGAGTTACATCAAAAGTTGAACAAAACCTATGATGTCTCACCATAACGATGGATTAGTGAAGGTCACGATATATTCTTGTGATTATTAAAAGTGGACTACAAGCATTCAAAAGACAATATATATATTTTAAGCCCATATCAAAATTTTATTTTAAAAAAAACAACACAATTTTTATACGGCCTATGGGCATATGGGATTAAAGCATAAGTGTTCCAGGTACTTCCACACATTCAATTTTTGGCATCTAATGGAAAATTTTGGGTGTGTATAATACCACAGATGTCAACTAATAGAAATACTGTTCTATATTACTAAGCTCAAAAAATTTAAATATTTAATTCCAAGTACAATTTTACACACTTTTAAAAGGCCTGCTATTAATATTCAAAATTCTAGTCTTCTTTTGTTCATACTCTTTAAGTTTACAATACTAAAAGTAATTTTAGTAGCTCATTTCTGTACTTTCATCCTATCTTTCTGTAACACACAATCTTACAATATTTTCCAAACTCTTATCTTCATGTATTTGTACATTTACAGTTTTCACAACATATGCATGTATCTGTTACAGCAGTGGTTCCAACTGATGACTAATTACTTCCATACTCAAAATTTCATGGACCACTTTTTACAATATTAACTTTCAATATTACTTTTACATTACATTATAAAACAATATTCTTCAATAGCTATACCTTAAAACTTTTTTTTTTTTTTTTTTTTTTGTT